CTGGATAGTGGTCTTTCTCTCTCTCTCTGTCTTTCTATTTTCTTCCCTCTCTCTCTTGAATTTGTTAGAGGATACATGCATTTCCCAGAGATAGAGAGATTAAGAGAGGAGGCATTCCTCATGGGGGACAGCCACATAATTAGGGATGTCTGGCTCTTTTTTTAGTCTACCTCTGCCTTGTCTTTTTGTTCGTGATCATATCCGCCTTCTTGTCTACTGTGAAGAGGAGTTCTCTCAAATCAGTTGTGCTGCATTTTGGAATAATTTCTCATTTTTTTCCTGCTATTCCAAAACCTGTAATTTTTCAAAGTTAACACCAAGTTCTATATTTTACTATTTTTAAAATTCCTGTCAGTTTTTACTGGCTTATTTAATTTTTAGTTTTTGCTGTAAGGCTTGAAGACTTTCCAGTGGGGGAGAGGGAGAGAGGGAGCAAAGCTGAGAAAGCATTCTCCTCCACCCCCAGAGGGTATGGCCCTGCTGCAGTCTCTTCTACATTCTCCTCTTGGGATTTTGGACACACATACACATGCTGCTGGCGTGTATTTAAAGCTGCTCAGTCTGGGACTCAAACCACATACTAGGCCATATGGGATCTAGTTGCCCTGACCATCATGCCACTGGCTGGCCCACTTTAATCTTCACGAAGAGAAAGCATGAGACAGAGTGCAAGAGAGCACCAGAGTATACAAGACAGAGACAGGTAGCCTCAACAGTTTTTCTCATACTGTAGTTCCCTTCTCCAGCTAGGCAGGATTTTGGGTGCCTGAGTATCTAATGTGTTTGAGGGCAATGGGAGTCTGAACCTACAATCGGCCATGTAACTTACAGCACTACAGGTAAATTGTCAGCAACTTCCTGAATTGATTGATTGATTGATTGATTGATTGCCAGAGGGTGCCTGTGTATGTGTGCCCATGATCTGGTGCTGGCTGGAACTAGGAGTGGACCACCAGAGTGGGAGAGGGAGAAAGCACTCCCTTCTCTATTTCTCTACCCTCTTGGAATTTGGAAAATGCACACACATGCACTTAGGTTTTTCACAGTCAGCCATGTGAAGTCTGGTTCCATTAACTACTAGGCCACAGGGGCAACCCTTCTCAAATTTAATATACACTTTTTTTATGACCCAGAAGTTCCATTATTCAGAGTTTACCCATGAATATGTTTCTGTGCCTTTGAATTATTAGGTCGTCAGGAAAGTCATGACGTATTTTTCTATGCAAAAATGTATCATAACTTTCTCAAATGACCCATTGTTTAGATATCTTGGTAGCAGTTCAACTTTCTGGACCCTAGCCTAGACCTTAGAATCACTGGCCAAGGAATCTGTATTTGTTTTAAACAGCTTAATAGCTGCATTTGGAGGAAAATTTGACAATTTCTGTGCAGACTATTATGAAACCATATATTTAAAAAAAAAATTGCTAGGGGGCATGTATGCTTGGCAGAGATAGAGATGAGAGAAGGGAAGAGGGAGAAAGCACACCCCTGCAGAGCATGCTTATTCCATCCCTTCCTCTTCACACTGTTGGGATTTTGGACATGCACACACACATGCCAAGTGTGTTTCTTAAGACACTAGGGCCAGGTTTTGGACCATACATTCAGACATGTAGACTCTGGCTGCCTTAACCACCAGACCAGAGAGCATGCCTGAAATCCAGATTTTTAAAATTGTCTTTAAATTGCAACAACAGTAACAATAACAAAAATGTAACCAACCAACCCATAGCTTTTTTTCTCCTCAATCCAGTTAAATACTTGATGGTAAACAAAAAGAGTAACGCACTCCACTCACTTGTTTTTTTTCTTTTGGAGAGGTTTTTTCCACTGTAGGGCGTGTGCGCTCACCAGACAGACAGAGACATAGAGACAGAAAGCGAGAAATCACCCCCCAGGGGGGATGGTCACGCTGCAATCCCTTCTCCTCCATTCTCCTCTCGGGATCTTGGGCATGCACACACACGCGCCTGGCGTGAGTTTTTTTTTTTATTTTTTTTTTTGGAGAGATTTTCACTGTAGGGCGCGTGCGCTCGCCAGACAGACAGAGAGAGACATAGAGACAGAAAGCAAGAAATCACCCCCCAGGGGGGATGGTCATGCCGCAATCCCTTCTCCTCCATTCTCCTCTTGGGATCTTGGGCACGCATGCACACGCGCCCGGCGTGAGTTTTAAGCCACCGGGTCCGGGACGCGAACCGCGGTCGACTACGTGGGAGTCCAGCGCCATAGCCATTATGCTAACTGCTGGTTCCCCGGCTGGCGTGAGTTTTAAGCCACCAGGTCCGGGACGTGAACCGCGGTCGACTACTTGGGAGTCCAGCGACATAGCCATTACGCTAACTGCTGGTTCCCCCTCACTTTTTTTTTTAATGAAGTTTCATTTTTAAACTTTATTTACTTATTCCAGTGTGACCAGAGAGAGACAGAACGAGAGAGAGAGAAAGAGAAAATGAGAAAGCAAGCCACCAGGTTTGAGACTCAAACCATGTTGGGCTTGTGGGAGTCCAGCACCCTTAACTACCACACTACCTGCAGGCTCCTCCACTCACTTTTTAAAAGTTCACTTTTTACATGAGAAAGAATAAGAGAGAGGGAGGGACAGTACCTTCAAAAGGGTCTGCGTGCTGTGGTACACTTCCAGTTTAGGCCAGCCCTGGATTATGGCCACAACCTGCTGTGTCCAGTGTACTCACGGAGGTTTCCTGATAGAAACTGGTAGCTTTCCTATGTGGGTCTGTCTTGCAGACCATTGCATTTTTATCTCCACCATCAGCCCCCATCCCACTTTTGTGGGAAGAACAACTGTTAATACCAATATTTTTTATAATATTTTAGTTTATCTAGTATAAATTCTTACAGATATATGTGTTGTGGATATCTTTATCAACAGATACATTTATTTTCTTTTTAATTATTCTTTATTTCATTGTATGAGTATTCCATTTATTAAAGCAGTCCTTTTAAAATTCCTCTTCCCTTTTTACTGTAATAGGAAGTTGTAATGAATGCTTTTAAAGAAATATGTTTATATCCTTCTCACTAAAGATATAATCCTTTAATTTTTATTGGTTATTTGTACTTCTTTGCTGTCTTTTAAGTCTTAATTATCTTTTAAATTATACTCTACTGTAGATTAGATGGTAGTATATACTGAGTACATTTTAAGAATGAATCAGTTTTTTTAATGATTATTTACCTTATTTTATTCATTTATTTATTTTGATTTGACCAGAGAGAGACAGAGGGTGAGAGTGAGAGAGAGAGGAAATGAGAAAGCAAGCCACCAGATTCAGGACTTGAGAACCCTGGTCGGCCATATGGGAGTGTCCACTGCCTTAACCACCACGCCACCTGCTGGTCCCAAGAATAAATTGGTTTTATAGTCTGCTTAGTTTTTTTTTTCTTTTTTTTGGAGAGGTTTTTGCCATAGGGCGCGTGCACTCGACAGACAGACAGACAGAGAGACAGAAAGCGAGAAATCACCCCCTGGGGGGATGGCCACGCAGCAATCCCTTCTCCTCTTGGGATCTTGGGCATGCACGCATACGCGCCCGGCGTGAGTTTTAAGCCACCGGGTCTGGGACGTGAACAGCGGTCGACTACGTGGGAGTCCAGCGACATAGTCATTACGCTAACTGCTGGTCCCAGTCTGCTTAGTTTTGAGACTAATTCCTAACTTAAAAACCATGAGATATGCCCTGCAATTTTTTATTTTTTTATTTTTTTTTAATTACCAGAGGGTATGTGCTGGCCAGAGAGAGGGTAAAAGAGAAAGCATCTCCCCATAGTGTGCGGTCATTCCACAGTAACGTCTCTGTTTCTCCATCTTGGGACTTAAAGCATGCAAGTACACATGCCAGGAAAGTTCCTCAAATTGCCGGGGCTGGGATTTGTACTGTGTTTGATCATGTGAGACCCAGTTCCATCAACCACTAGGCCATGGGGCCAGCCCAATAATGGCATATAATTTAATGATTCATTTTCAGTTTAAATTATTAGTAGGAGAGATGACACCTTATGAAAATATATTGTGATACTACCTGAAAGGGATAATTTTTTATTACCTCATACCCTTAAAAATTATGGGGGCCAGCAGGTGGTATGGTAGTTGGGGTGCTGAACTCCCATGTGGCTGTTGGAATGCCAGAACTGGTGGCTTACTGTCTTATTTTACCTCTTTCTCTTTTTCTGGTGAGCACATGTGCCCTACAGCAAATTGCAAAATAATAACAATAATAAGTAAAATTTTTAAAATAATTCTTTTAAAAAATAGTTTATATAATTCAATTACTTCCTAGGAGTAAATCTTTCATAACTATGTTCATAATAATATTTATTAACTTTAAAAATCACTATGATTTTTAAAGCTTAATTTGTATCTTCCATAATAAAGTTTAAATCTAGCTATCAGGAGTCAGAATTTATTATAATTATATAGATGTGTTTTAGCAGTATGATATTCCCTTTTTTGAAACTTTATCCAGAACTAAGTGATGAAGTTCCTTCTGAAATGTGTATACCCAAGATCATAATTCATTCTGTAAGTTTTACTTTTAGCTTATGTAACAGATTTTTAAAATGTTATTTTGCAGTAATTGATAGCATGATGACATTTAGTATTGAACATTAGGTTCTTAAGAAATACAGGATTTTAGGTATGGTGCTTCATTAGGGAAACGAAATGGTGTTTTATGAAGAGATAATCTAAATCAGTATTTAATTTTATTTAAACACCCAGTGACAAGTGCCATTTATGTGAAGAGTTTGTTGTTATTTCATGTATATATGGAAACTAAAATAAGCCTGGTTGTAACTTATAGGACAGATCAAGAATTAAATAATATATTTCCTTCTGATTATGACTTACAGGAGAAATCAAGAATTAAATTAATATATTTTCTTTAATAGCTAAAAAGGGCTTTAAAAGTTATTGTTAATGCCAAATAATTTTTTTAGCATTCAAAACATTTTCCTTTCTTTGTGTGTTTCCACAGATTATTAACTGAAGACAAAATAAGTAGCTATGCAAAATTCTCACATGGATGAGTACAGGAATTCTAGTAATGGCAGCACAGGCAACAGTTCAGAGATAGTGGTAGAACGTCCTCCTGATTTCAGTACTGAGATTATGAATGTTACAGAAATGGAACAGTCACCTGATGGCTCTCCTAATGTGAATGCATCTACAGAAGAAAGTGATATGGCAAATGCTGTGGACCTTCCAGCAACAGCAACAGAAACAGAAGCAAATTTCCCTGCGGAATATGAAAAATTTTGGAAAACCGTAGAAAATAATCCCCAGGATTTTACAGGCTGGGTATATTTACTTCAGTATGTAGAACAGGAGGTTAGTAACTATTTAAATGATATCAGAAAGAGTAGATGAATACACTAATTAATTAAGTGATATCAGCCTAGTCTTTATTGTTTTGTATTTAAAGTTGACTCATAACATTTTCACATTAAGTAAAGTAATGTTAAATACATTTTTAGCCTTGACAGTAATTTACTGCATTTTACATTATAGAGAGTCAACATTAGAGTGAAAGCCTAGTATTTTGAAAAATTGGGGTGTAAATATGCATGTATGTATAAAATCACTGAAATAAAAAGTTACCTTGGTGCATTTATAGGAAAAAAAGACTGTTGCCTCTTTAGCTTTTAAGCTTACCATTTGCTTATTTTGGGGGATAGTATATTTGAAAGGAAAATGTTGTTTGGACAGAAAGTTCCAAGATGTTTAAACACCTTGTTTTATTTTCATTAGAATCACTTGATGGCTGCCAGAAAAGCATTTGACAAATTTTTCATACACTATCCATATTGCTATGGTTACTGGAAAAAGTATGCAGACCTTGAAAAGCGGCATGACAACATTAAACAATCAGATGAGGTGCGTACATGACTGAATAAAGTTACCTCCATTAGGTACTGTAAGCCAATTAATAACAGATTCTTTTTTTTGGCTGGCAGTACCTACCATTTATGGTCAAACAATTTTTATAGGGTATTTTATTTGCATTTGTCACTCTTGTGGCATTTGTAGCTAATATTTTCTCTCTTTGTTGGCAGGTGCGTTAAACCTCTACAGTTTGTCAAGCTTTGCAGTGCAAGCCTCTGTATTACACTGCAGCTTAACAAGTAGGGCAGGGCTTTTCTCTCACTTACATTTATTTCTCATTTTCCAAACAATATAGTTGGTTTGCTAGTCACATTTGCTACGTCTTATTGCATTTTTGGTCAGACGCTGTCATTGATGCTCTAATGGGTCTGTGCCCTATGGTCTGTAACCCAAAGCCTGCCCACACAACCCGGTCAGAATGCAGGGACTGCTGCGCTTTGAAGATCAAGACTCTGCACGTGGGGATCAGAACATTGCCATGTTCTATCCAACCTCCACCCAAATGGTAATGGTAGATTATTTAAACAAAATTCCAGTAATTAGTATTTCTAAGGTTCACCGGATTACACAGTGTTGCCTCTCTGTTAAGAAATAATTAAATATTTGAAGTACAGTTTGTTGTTTTCTTCTTAGGTTTATCGGCGGGGGCTTCAGGCAATACCTCTTAGTGTTGACCTTTGGATACATTACATAAACTTCTTAAAAGAAACCTTGGATGCTGGTGATCCTGAGACAAACAGTACAATAAGAGGGTATGTGAAAAGTTGATACTCAAATGTATTTAAAGATAGACATAAGTATTTAGATGTTGGTAATGCTTAGAACTACTCATGAAAGCCAAGCAGGAAGTTTTAACTTTCATACTTTTCTGCTATTTAAAAAAAAATTATACATGTAATAAATTTAGGTTTAGTTGTTAAAAAGTTGACATAAAAAAATCTCCTTCCATTCTATACCCCCTTTCCTTTATGCCCAGCCCCAACCCCTCTCATTGGTAGTGCCTTGATGTGTATTCTTTCAGATACGCATATATGCACATATTTAATTTTACATTCTGTTCTTTGACTTGTTTTTTTACTTAACAGAATGTTTTGGAATCTCTCCCTATCATATTTTTTTTAACCATTGCAGAAGTATTTTATAATGTCAAAGCGCTATATTTTGTTTGATAATAAATCTTTGTAGTAAACAGTGCTTCTGTTAACATTTATGTACAAAATGGTTTTATAGAATATCCTAGAAATGGAATGTGTCAGAGACAATATGCAATTATGTTTTATTGATTTGTTTCTTTGAAAATGGTATCAATTTTAGGGCCAGCAGATAGTTGTGGTGTTTAAGACACTGGATTCCACTTGGCCAGCTCCACAATTCGAGTCCTGGATCCACTGGCTTGAGAAACATGCCAGGTGGGGACCAGCATTTTAGCGTAATGGCTATGTAGCTGGACTCCCATGTAGTTGACCGCGGTTCAATTCCTGAACCTGGTGGCTTAAAACTCATGCCGAGCGCGTGTCTGTGTGTGCCCAGGATCCCGAGAGGATTATGGAAGAGAAGGGATTGTGGCGTGGCCATCCCCCGTGGGGGGTAATTTCTCGCTTTCTGTCTCTCTGTCTCTCTCTGTCTGTCTGGTGATTGTATGCACCCTATAGCAAAAACCTCTCAAAAAACAAAAAAAAAAAAAAAAAGAAACGTACTAGGTGCACGAGTATATGTGCCCAAAATTCCAAGAGGAGAATGGAGGAAAAGGGATTTTGGCATGGCTATCTTCCTGAGGGGTGATTTCTCACTTTCCCTCTTTTTGTCTCTCTCAGTCCGGAGTGTGCCTGTGCCCTATGACAAAAATCTAAAAAAACTAAATAAAAGTACAAAAAAAAGGGACCAGCAGTTTTTGTAATGGCTATGTCGCTGGACTCCCATGTAGTCGACCATGGTTTGAGTCCCCGACCCCTGGTGGCTTAAACTCAGGCCGGGAGCGTGTGCATGCAAGCCCAAGATCCTGAGAGGAGAATGGAGGAGAAGGGATTGCATTGTGGCCATCCCCCCGGGGGGGGGTGATTTCTCGCTTTCTGTCTCTCTTTCTCACCCTGACTTCCTGGCGAGCGTATGTGTACTATAGTAAAAAAAACCCCTAAAAAAAAATGGTATCAATTTATACTCCCACAGTGTCATTTCCCCACAATTATGTCCAACTTTTTAAAACTTTTAATGATATCTTTGTACAGTTTGCATGTTATCTAGCTTGCCTATCCTGATATTTCATCTTCTCATATATTTGTATAAACCACTTTTTATTGCTTTGTCATTATTTGCCCATTTTTCTATTGGATTATCTTTTTTTTCTTGATGATAGGATTTTGTTAATGTAGGTTTGTTTTGGGCTTTATTTGTTTTGTTTTTGCCATAGAGTGAGTGCTCTCACCAGAGAGACACACAGTGAGGGAAAGTGAGAAATCACCCCCAGGGGGTATGGCTACAAGAACGTCTCTTCTCTTTTACTCTCTTCCTGGGATTTTGGGCATTTGTGCACATGTGCTCAGTGCTAGCCTTAGAGAAACAGAAAAGGAAAGTAAGAAATCACTCCCCGGGGGATGGCTAGGCCGCAATCCCTTCTCCATTCTCTTCTTAGGATATTGGGAACATGTGTTTTTTAATTGGCAGGGTCTGGGACTCATACCTTGCAGTCAGTCACGTAGGATGCAGCTGCCGTAACCGCTATATCACCTCGTGTCCCAATCATTCTAAATCTGTCAGTATCTTTCATCACACTGTCCTATGTTTTATAGCTCTTTGTTTTCTTGGAGTTAATTATCCTCTCCTCCTTTCCCCCATTTTTCCTATTTATCTAGTTTTCTTTGAACATTTAAGCGTTTTGTACTGTTGAAAAATTTTGTATCATATAGCTTAAACATAGCTTTCCACATAATTAGACTTATCAGATAATCTTTTAAGTTCCATTTTTTTCCCTCTCTGTTTTGGTACTATCCCTCTTAGAACCCTCTTCTGGAACCTAGACTCATTGCTATTTTCTTGTTCTGCCATGCAAGTGGTACTGGAATTTTCTTAATCATAATTCTAAGAGGTGTGTTTACATCACTCCTGGGTTTCATGGCTCATTTGTTTGAAATTATTACACCCCATTCTTTCTTGACTTATGCTCAACTTTTAGAAAATTGTATCCTGTAACTTCTTGATCAAGGATGCTTGGGTCAAAAATAATATCCGGTAGGGTACAGAATGTTTTTTTCTTAGAGCTTTGTAGGCATGCTAGACTATTGTGTTAATATTGAGAAGTCTGAAACCATTCTTCTGAGTTTATATTTGTTTTGTTTTTAAGTTTTGCTGTAGGGTATGTGTGCTCACCAAAGAAAGAGGGAGTCCGGAGATTCCAGGGGAGCTGGCCACCACACAGTCCGTTCTCCTCCATTCTCTTCTCAGGATTTTGGGCACACATACACACACATACACCCAACGTATTTTTCAAGCGTCTGTGTCCAGGACTTGAACCATGCAGTCATCCATGTGGCATCCTACCACCTTAATTAAATCCACACCAAGACTGGTCCCTGAATTTCTTTCTATGATTTGGTTTTCTTTTATGTAAGCTTGTAGGATATTACCTTTATCTTTGATATAGATGCAGTTTGGTAATGTGGATTTTTTTTTCTCATTCCTTGTATTAGTGTATCTTTCAATCTGAACTGCTCATGTCCTTTTATTCTTAAAAACTTTATTATGGATATTCTTATTTTGATTGTTTCCTTCCCTAATTTTCTCTTTCCTTCCCTAATTTTCTCTTTGATTTTAATAGATATTGGACTTGCTGTTTTAATCATTTAATTTTCTTTTTCTCATTTTTCATTTCTTATGGCTTGTCTGGCTTTTTTTTTTTTTATTTTATGTTTTAAAAATCTTGTTGCAGGGCATGTACACATGCCAGAGAAAAACAGACAGAGAACAAAAAAAAAAGAAAGCACCCCTCACAGGGCATGGCCATGCCACAGTCCCCTCTGCATTTTCCTCTCAGGATTTTGGGCACACAAACACACACACCCAGTGTGTTTTTTAACCTGCCAGGTCCAGGACTCAATCCACAAAGTCAGCCATGTGGAATCTAGTCGCCTTAAATACCATGCCACTGGCTGGCCCTTTGTCTGACTTTGAAGTGTTTCCTTACCCTTGGATTTTGTGTATCCACTATCAGATTAATACTATCAAAGATTTTCTTATTCTTTGAATGCTTCTTATAGTGTCCTTTTCTGTTCTCATTTCATGACTAACTGTTTTATTGTTTATTTGAGGCTATTAAGGATAGGTGTTTTCTTCTGTTCTCAGAACTATTTTCTCAAAAGGTTTTTTTTTTTTTTACTTTTTGATCTATTCATATTAAAGATTAAATATTAGGAGCTGTGTGGAAGCTCTGTGTTTTGTGTGAGACATTGTCAGCTGTTCTGGAGGGCTTCACAGTAGAGTGAATCAGGTGGCTACTCAGGTTTTTGTAGGGAGACTCCCAGTGTTAATATCCTTATATCTCATTCCTGAGTCAAGCAGTTTCTTCAGAGAATGATCATATAAACTACCTTAGCTGATGGAATCCCATAGCTGGGCAGGAGATGGGGTTGGAGATTTCAGACAGTTTTTGTTGTTCTTTCCATAAGGTACATGTGCTATCTGGAAAGAGACAGAAAGTGAGAAATCATCCCTCCAAGAGGATGACCATGCCATAGTCCCTTCTCCATTCTCCTCTTGGGATTTTGAGCATACACATAAACTCGCTGGGCATGATTTTCTAGCCACTGGATCTGGAACTGCCATGTGGGAATCCAGTGCCTTAGACACCACGCCATGTACTGGTTCCATTTCTCACAGTTTATTAAGCAGATCTTCTAAACATTCTGTCTTTATTTCATTACTCTTCTCTCTCATACTTTTCTCACTTATATATTAATTTCCGAATCATTATGGGATTTTGTGAAGACAGTGACATATATTTTAGTCTCTTGAAACCCTTACACACAAATGTACAGACATATACACACCCACTCAATCTTTTTTTAAGAATTATTTTTATTTATTTATTATTTTTTCACATGAGTTTTGCCAGAGAAGGAGACAGAGACAGAGAGAGAGGGAGAGGGAGAGTGAGAAAGCAAGCCACCAATATATATATCAGTGTGTGTGTGTGTGTGTGTGTGTGTGTATAATTTTTTTTCTTTTTATTTATGTTGCTTATCATATAGAAATTTTTTTTTTAGAGAGAATTTTTTGCTTTAGGGCACATGCGCTTTCAAAAGAGACAGAAAGCAAGAAATCACCCCCTGGGGGGATAGCCATACTGCAGTCCCTTCTCTATTCTCTTCTCAGGATTTTGGGCACACATGCTGGGTGTAAGTTTCAAGCCTCTGAGTCTGGGATTCAAATCACAGTTGGCCATGTGGGAGTCCAGCAATGTGACCGTTACATCACCTGCTGCTCCCCGATTTTTTTTTTTTGTAAGAGATTTTTGCTATAGGTCACATGACTCTCCAAAGAGACAGAGACAGAAAGTGAGAAATTCCCCCCCACCCCATCCCAGGATGGCCACATCACAGTCCCTTCTTCTCCATTTTCCTCTTGGGATTTTGGGCATGCATGCATGTGCACCTGGCATGACTCTTAAGCCACCGAGGGACTCAAACTGCGGTCGACTCTGGAAGTCAAGTGACGTAAACATTACGCCATCTGTTGGTCTTCCAGAACTTGTTATAAAGATAGTTTTTAAATGTAGTTTAAACATAGTTTTAAACTACATTTAAATGTAGTTTTCAGCCTTTGGTGTCTGAGTTTTATGCTTTTTTTTGCCAAGAATATATACTTGTATTTTCTTCTAACTTTTTAATTGTATTTTTTAGTTATTCATTCATCTATCATTTAATTTGTATCCATAGACAGTAGCCTTTTATATATCTGTATTTATTGAGTAGTCTTCCCTTTTTGCATGGATTAAAATACCTCTCTAATCATATAGTAAATTTTCATACATCATTAGTCTGTTTTTGTTACTTGAGTTGAAAATCTGTTTTATGGTACTCTTTTCAAAATATTTTTCAATTTTGTATACTAGATGAATATTAGAATTTGATTTCCCCACTCAAAATTCATTAGAGCTTCAGGAGTATGTTAAAGTTGTAGGTTAAAGAGTGTTTTAATAATAAACTTTAATTATAGACTTTTAGAATTAGGGCATTTTGAAAATTTGAACATACATGTATACTTCTCTTTACCTCACAAGGCAGCTGAACCCCTTGTTGGAGAGTTAATTTTGCTAGGATATATTCCATATATAGAGGTAAAATTTTACTTCTTTGTGAATTATTTTAGTTTTGTCTTCTACCTGAAATGAATCTACAACGTCACTTGTTTCTTCTTCTTTTTATATTGATTAATTTTTTAAGATTGCCAGTGTGTATGTGTGCTTGCCAGAAAGTGACAGAGAGAAGAAAAAAGTACCCTTCAATGGGGCATGGTCATAACACAATCCCTTTTCCTCCAATTCTTGATACTGTTGGAATTTTGGGCGTGCACATTGTGTCTGGCGTATTTTTCAAGCTGATTGGGCTGGGATTTGAACTGTAGCCAGCCTTGTGGGATCCAGGTCCCCTGATCACTAGGTTATGTGACATCCACAACAGACATTTCAATTTTAACAAATATTTAAATGTCTGCTGTGTCACTCTTTGGTATACAGTGTGTACATTTTGCATTGTAATTTTTATGAGATAAAACTACTGTCAGGTTTCCAGCATATGCTTATAGCCCCAGCTACTCAGGAGTCTGAAGCATGAAGATCACAGTTCAAGACCAGCCTGGGAAACATAGTGATACTCTATCTTTAAAAAAAAGAAAATATGTGTAAAAAGTACATTTACCTATTTTCTTTATGTTTTCTCATTCTTTTTTTAATAGCAGCTATTATGTTTTTTGTTATTCCCTCTACATTTTAGTCCCAGCTTGCAAAGTAAGCATTTAAATATTTTTTAAATTTAGCATTATCTTCTGAATTTAGAAATAGTATTTTAAAAGTGAATTTATCTTGGAAGATTACTTAAGAGTAATTTAATTTTTCAGAACTTTTGAGCATGCTGTTCTAGCTGCAGGAACAGATTTCCGATCGGACAGACTGTGGGAAATGTACATAAACTGGGAAAATGAACAGGGAAACTTGAGAGAAGTTACAGCTATATATGATCGTATTCTTGGTATTCCAACACAGCTCTATAGTCATCATTTTCAGAGGTAGGTGGATAAATTCAATTTTTGAAATATCTTTGATTACTCAGGTAATAAATTCCTAGTATTGAGTGCAGTAGTAGGTTCTTCCATCTGCAGAAATATGTTCTGAGACCTCTTGGGCACATCTGAAACCACAGATAGTATTAAATTAAATCTATATTTACTGCTTTGTTTCTGATTTTATAACCAGAATACAGCATAGATACGGGCGACAAAAATTCATCTACTCTGAGAGCAGGATGGCATTGAAATTTCATCATGCTATTTAGAATTTGTGTAGTTTAAAGCTTATGAATTGTTTATTTCTGGAATCTTCTGTTTATTATTTTCTGACCACTACTGACTATGGGTAACTGAGATTGTGGAGGGCAAAACTATAGATAAGGCAGAAATACTGTATTATATCTCTGTTGATTGTTATGTCAGATTTCATTAGATAGAAAGAGGAATACATTTTCCTGCTGGATAATTACAATTTATCTACTTCTTAATTTTGATATTTTTGTCATGTACTTTGTGTGTACCATGTCTCATAGTTTTGAGAGTCATTACAGTATCGTTATTATTTCATACTGTATTAATGAAACTAACCAGAAAATATGTAAAAGTGGATGAGAACAAAAAGGAGACTGGAATTTTTAGAAACATTAGCAATTTAGAACAATGGGAAAGGGAAGCAAGAGATTGTGCAATCAGATACTTGGAAGAACATCAAGAAAGTGCAAACTCAGAAGCTAAGGAAGAAAGAAGGTTCTGAAGATATGGTTAACTACCTTAAGTACCTAAGATGTTATTAGGATAGAGACTGTATTACATGTAAAATGTAATTGGTGACTTTAATTACAACAGTTTCATCAGAATGTTGAGTACGTACATATAGACTGAGAAATAATGAGTGGTGAGTGAGAACAAGCTGCTAATGTTTGTTACCATTTTTGAATGACTACTTAAGATTGAAATAAGGATTACCATATTTAATCTTAATGTAACGTTGAAAAATGAGCAGGCAAACTTGAGAGATATTACAGCTATACATTATATAAGTATAGATGATTATCCTATTTTACAGATGAGGAAACTAAGATATAAAGAAGGGAAACATTCCCTTAAATCAGATAGCCAGTAATTGCAGAACTGAGGTTTGAATTTATGCCTGTCATACCTTCTCTATTCTACTGCAAAGGGAGGAAGAAAATGACAATGTTAAATGGTAGATTTTTACTTTCAAAAGGAAGAAGAAACAGTATGACATTTTGGTTTCTTGCATTAAATGAGAAGTATTTTTGAAAGTATGTGTAGTAGGAATTTAACCTGGGATCTAAATTATGATTTTAATATTGTGCTTATACTTTTATCATCTTCTTTTAGATTTAAAGAACATGTACAGAATAACTTGCCTAGAGATCTTTTAACTGGTGAACAGTTTATTCAGCTGCGAAGAGAATTAGCTTCCGTCAATGGACATAGTGGTGATGATGGTCCTCCTGGTGATGATCTGCCTTCGGGAATTGAAGATATAACTGATCCAGCAAAGGTAACTGTACTTACTCAAAAGTCCTTTAGTGCACAAGAAACTAGGCTTTGTATCCCTTGACTTACATGTGAGGAACATTGATAAATATGACTTGGAACTTGTTTAGAGTTAATTCCAGACAAAGGCAAGTGAGGAGGTTCTTTAGCTGTTACTGTTTTGAATAAAGATTTAAGGCAAAGAAATAGAAATACCTTAAATAAAGATTTAAGGCAAAGGATCTATTTTACTATGAGATATCTGGAATTAGTTTATTTTGGCTAGATTGTGATTTATTGGTTGTGGTCTAAGGAAAAAAGCCCTTAAGAATGGTTTATCATTTGATGGCCGGCAAGTGGTGTGGTGATTAAAGGCACTGAATTCCCACATGGCCAACTGTGGTTGGAGTCTTGGACCTGGTGGCTTTCTTTCTTTCTTTCTTTCTCTCTCTCTCTCTCTCTCTCTCTCTTTCTGAGTGGTTTATTAGAGGGCCGGTAGGTGGCGTGGTGGTTAAAGGCACTAGATTTCCACATGGCCAACCGTGGTTGGAGTCTTGGACCTGGTGGCTTGCTTTCTTTCTCCCTATCTCTCTTTCTCTCTCTGTCTGGTCAAATTAAAAAAGTAATAATAACAAATTGAATTAAATAAATAAATCTTTAAAACAAAGAGTGGTTTATTAGAAAGTTATAAATTTTAGTGTTGTTAACTGAACTTTGCACATAATTGTTAACAGTTAAAAACCTCCCAGTATTCTAAGACCAACATGTATCTATGGGTAATACTTAAGTATAAGAAGCAGTAATGTTGAAAAACTTTAGCATGTGACTTGTGAGATTTAATGTTTTTCCTTTTTTTCCCCAAGCTAATTACTGAAATAGAAAACATGAGACACAGAATCATTGAGATTCATCAAGAGATGTTTAATTATAATGAACATGAAGTTAGTAAAAGATGGACATTTGAAGAAGGTGTAAGTGTTTTTATTTATAACAATTCTTAAAATATAAAGATAGTATTTTTCTTTCAGTTTTGATGGCAATGTCTCCATTGTTTTCTGTTTGTCTGTAGTTTACTTTTTGCTGTAGGGCACATATGGCACATATGTTCACCAGAGAGAGAGAGAAAGTGAGAGATCCCATCACAAGGGGGGAAGTAGCCATGCCACAGTCCTTTCTTCATTCTCCTCTTGGGAATTTGGGCATGCACGCATACATGCTTTGCATGTTTTTAAAGCCACCAGGTTTGGGACTCAAAACATGCACTTAGCTATGTGGGATCCAGGTGCCTTAACCACCATAAGACCTGGCCTGGCTCTTTTACCATTCTTGTTTTTGCATGTTTAAATAATAACTAAAGATGTTCATCTCATTTGTTACTATTATCAGTTTTCAGTTACCGATTTTATCATTTTCCATGATCAATTTTAGAATCCTGTTGAATTCAGACATACTTGAATTACAAGATGACTACTGAATAATTTTATTTCATTTGTTTATTTTTTTAGAGGTTTTTGCTATAGGGTGCGTGCGCTCACCAGAAAGACAGAGACAGAGACAGAAAGCGAGAAATCACTCCCCAGTGGAGATGGCCACGCCGCCATCCCTTCTCCTCCATTCGCCTCTCGGAATCTGGGGCACGCACGCACATGCGCCCAGCGTGAGTTTAAGCCACTGGGTCTGGGACTCGAACCACGGTCAACTACATGGGAGTTCAGCAACATAGCCATTATGCTAACTGCTGGTCCCTAATTTTATTTTAACTGTGCAGTTTTTTTAAAATCAGTGTTTTTTACTTTGGCTTTACATACAGTAAAATGCACCCATTTAAGGTAGAGAGTAAAATATGTTCATTCTCTATAGTTTAAATTCTTTTTTTTTTTTTTTTTTTTGAGAGGTCTTCGCTCTAGGGCGTGTGTGCTCGCCAGACAGAGAGAGACATAGAGACAGAAAGCGAGAAATCACCCCCCAGGGGGATGGTCACACCGCAATTCCTGCTCCATTCTTTTCTCGGGATCTTGGGCACGCACACACATGCGCCCGGTGTGAGTTTTAAGCCATTGGGTCCGGGACGCGAACCGCGGTCGACTACGTGGGTGTCTGGTGACATAACCATTACACTAATTGCTGGTTCCCTAATTCTTTCTTTTTTTGGGTAAACATATAATTCATATGCCATACAGTTCACCCATGAAAATATACAACAGTTCTTGGTATATTCACAGATCCCACCATCACTACAGCCAATATTAGAATGTTCTCATCACTTCCCCCATAATAATGAATAACGGGGACCACCAAATGTCATAATGGTTACTTCACTGGACTCCCACGTAGTCAACCACAGTTTGAGTCCCAGACCCGGCAGCTTAAAATTCACCAGGCATGTGTGTGTGTCCCCAGAATCCTGAGAGGAGCATTGAGGAGAAAGGATTGCAGCATGGTCATCCTCCAGGGGTGGGGAAGCAGGGTAATTTCTCACTTTCTGTCTCTCTGGCTCTCTAGTAAGGGCATGGACCCTATAGCTAATATCCCTCTTTTTTTTTTTTTTACAAAAAGAATTACCCTATCCTTTAACTGTCACCACTCTCCCTTCTGAGATGTCTAATCTTGCTGCAGTAAGGTACCATTAATGTACGTTTTGATTTTATAGATTTCCCTAGAATGGTTTTTCATTTGAATAGAATTGTATACTGTGTGGTCTTTTATGGCCATATGATCTGGCTGTAAAATGTATATTAACAGGGTGTAGTGGTTAGGGGTGCTGGACTCCCACATGGCCTACCGTGGTTTTGAGTCTGGGACCTGATGGCTTGCTTTTGCACTTACCATCTCTCTGTTTCTCTCATTCTTTTCTTTTAGTCCAATTAAAATAAGTAAATAAAACAATTCTTTCAAAAATACATATTAATAAGTATACATTTTTTAATGAATAACCTCATCAGTACAGTACACAGTGTAACTACCACAACAGATTAATAAAACAAAATATAGAACTATTCTCTTACCTGGAAAGGTCTCCTTGACCTCCTTCCAGTCAGTACATCCCACCCCACTCCTAACCCCAAGCAGCTACTGATCTGTTTTTGTCTCTATAATATAATTGTTCAATTTTAAAATCTCAGTGAAGAATAAAATATTAAGCTGTATAATTTTGTTAAAATGACTGAATAAATATGAAATGAATTCTATTCTATTCGTGAAGACTAAGGATTGAAAAATGTTGATTATTAATTTTGTAATTTTTAATTTTATTATTTTGTTATTGATTTGCTTTCATTGCCACATCATAATTTTATTATAGATTAAAAGACCTTATTTTCATGTGAAGCCATTGGAAAAGGCACAGCTAAAAAACTGGAAAGAATATTTAGAATTTGAAATTGAAAATGGAACTCATGAACGTGTTGTGGTTCTGTTTGAAAGATGTGTCATATCATGTGCCCTCTATGAGGAGTTTTGGATTAAGGTAAGAAAATTACCTACTCAAACTTGGCTATATTATAAACATTGATCTAGTGACTAACCTTTTTTGTACTTCTGTTGAATGTTGTTCATATAACTATATCTGTTGCATTAGGAGATGGTCTGCTTGCAACCAGATTTGACTGCTGCATATGCCAACCTCGTTGCCTCTCTTCGTCCTTCCTTACAGAAACTAGTCTAGTGGTTCAATAAAGGTGCTGAATGGGTTTAAAATAGAATTTTATCGTTCTGTCACATATTTAATGATTTGTTCAACTGTAAATTATTCAATATTTCCTCTTTTCTGTATATAGTATGCCAAGTACATGGAAAACCATAGCATTGAAGGAGTGAGGCATGTCTTCAGCAGAGCTTGTACTATACATCTTCCAAAGAAACCCATGGTGCATATGCTTTGGGCAGCATTTGAGGAACAGCAGGGTAAGAATAAGGATATTTAATTGATATTTTTTGGAGGGATTTTTAAAAGTTATTTCAGGATAAAATTTACAGGAATTGAGTGATGAAACACAAGCAGAATTTGGCAAACATTTTCTGTAAGAAGTCAGATTTTGAGTATCATAGGCTTTGTAGGCCAAATGATTTTTTTTTTTTTAGTTCTGCTATTAAATAGTGTAAGAGCATCCTCAGGCAATACATTACAAATGGCTGTTTTCCACTTTAAAAAACAGATGCGGAATGCTTGAATGCTGGGTGTAGCTCATGAGTTGTTGTTTGCCAATATGTAGGGTAAAGGCTATTCTGTAAATTCAATCAAATGCATAAAGACTTATTACTATTTCTAGGTAATATTAATGAAGCCAGGAATATCTTGAGAACATTTGAAGAATGTGTTCTAGGACTGGCAATGGTTCGTTTGCGAAGAGTAAGTTTAGAACGGCGGCATGGCAATTTGGAAGAAGCCGAACATTTGCTTCAGGATGCCATTAAGAATGCCAAGTCAAATAATGAATCATCATTTTATGCTATCAAACTAGCCCGACATCTGTTCAAAATACAAAAAAATATTCCAAAGTCAAGAAAGGTGCTTTTGGAAGCAATGGAAAGAGACAAAGTATGTATCTCTGTTGTTTAGACTATCTTCCAAAAATAAAGAGTGGTCAATTTTCCCCCCCACTTTTGGCAACTGTGATGAAAGATTTGGTCTGTATGTAATATATTTATTACTAAATGTGGACAACAGTCCCTCTAAACTGACGTTGCCATTTGCAATTTTTTTTTTTTTCCAAATTACTTTGAATTACAATTTGAGAAACATAAGATTATTGGGTTAAAAAGTGTTGTAGACACATGATACTTTGTTTTCCCTTCAGAAATTTTACTATTAAGTAGAACAGAGGGACCTGGGAGAACAATATAATAAACAAAGGCAAATTAGTTACCTATATTGTGACAAATGTAGCAGTGAGATGATTTTCTTTTCCCAAGGTTGCTTTTTTTTTTTTTTGGTATCAATTGATAAAAGGCAGTATATAGGAAATTTCTCATTTTCTATGTTTTATACCAGTTTGCTTCAAGCAGCTGTTTATTTACAGAAAGATTTAAATTATTAGAGCTGTAGAGATAATTTTTTTGTTTTATTTTCTAATTGTTATGGTAGGCTAAGTTATATTAAATCCATAAAAAGATACAATCTCAATTTATAGGCATTTAACAATTTGGATAGTTTGGGAGATGCTTCCTGTCACTTCCTGTCAGTTTACTAGTAGTTTTTTCAGCCTTTTAGATATATTTTGAAAATTTTAACGTGAACTTTATTTTAACTCAGTGTTCAATATTAAATTTCTCAAATGAAGACCTCAAAATTAAGGCATTTTAAATATTTGTGCTCTAATCAAACTATTTTAGAATTATTAATTGATACTGCTTTTTACACAGGAGAACACAAAGTTACACCTCAATTTACTTGAAATGGAGTATAGTGGTGACCTCAAACAAAATGAAGAAAATATCTTAAATTGTTTTGACAAAGCTATACATGGTTCGTTACCTATTAAAATGAGAATTACATTTTCTCAGAGAAAAGTGGAATTTCTTGAAGATTTTGGTTCAGATGTTAATAAGTAAGATCTTAATTATATTATTTATTTAAATGCTAAATAAGCATTGAGATTTTTGGATGGGATTTGATGATTACATTGTTCAGTTTAAAAATGTTTGCTAGGTTACGTTTTCCTCAGATATGTCTGGGAGTAAATTTAATTTGTAAATGTATGTGTGCTTAACATGAGGACATAAAATCTTTCCTTCAAAATGGTTTTCCCAGTTTTAGAATAATTTATACCCCCCAAAAAGAATAATTTATACCATGAATAAATGAGACCAGACAGGAAGCAGCAATCCTGTGAAAAGGAACTAGGATAAGGATTAAGTCCCAAAACACATGAACATTTAATGTATAGTTCAGCAAAGGTAGTCGGGGAATAGGAATGTCATTTTATCAGAGACTGGAAAAAAGGACTGATATTGCCTAATAGCGTCATCTTCCTGCAGTGTAAAAGGTGAGCGTGATTTCATATAGGGGATTTTGGAAAAGGACAAGTTTAAGATTCGAAATTGCTTAACAGAAAGAGTAGAAATGCTGGTTAGAGCATTGCTGAAGTTCCCTTAAGGAAATATCCCAGTGTCTTATATTTGTGCCTTTTCTAATTACTCTAATTTGGGTTTCCATTGAAACCACTGTACATAATCTGAGAAATTGTATCTTTGTATTTACATGTATTTTTGATGACTATGTAAAATTTAGTTAAACTAGTATTAGGAACAGCTGGTATTGAGTGGCATGACTGTAAATGTTTTAGATTATCTAATGTGAAAGTCATAGCAGTATAATGAGTGGTATGGGTACTGTTCTTTTAATAAATGAAGAGAATTAAAGAGATTAGTCATTTTTCCAAGATCACATACCTATTGCATTACAAAGCTAGGATTAGAACCTAGTTCAGAATATGCTCTAGTTACTTCATGTGCTATGTTTAGTGTCTCCTGTTTGTTTTGCACCAAAAACAGTATATAAAAGAAATAATTTTAGCTTTTAGTCTAGTTGGATGATAGGATCAGAGAAAGGACGTAAGTATATGAGGTAGCATTTAACTATATTAAGGCTGTGATTTTTGTGGCTCAGAATGGATTTGTCAGGCTTTATGAACTGGATATAGAATATTAGGTTAAAGAGGGCACAGTGGTAGAGAGGCATGTTAGTTTATACAAAAGGAGTACCTGCTTGATTGGTGGGTTTTGTGCAGCAGTGGAAGTGTGTTCTTTATTGTGCTGCACCTTGGAGGCTGGACCGAGCTCAAATTACATGCAGTAGGCAGTTAACAGCAGCAAGCTATTGGAGTTTTGACCTATGAAATTAAATGGTATATCATTTTAATTTGGCAGACACGTAAGAGATTCAACACAGATCTCATTCAGGCCCTTGCTGGTATAAGTATGGAAGGTCTGAGTGTCAGAAAGTGTCAAAAAGTGTCAGAAAGTTCTGAGTGTCAGTGTCTGAATATAGTTAAAATTTTAAAAGGGAACAATATGAGTAATAAAAACCATTTAGAAATTTATGTAGTCACTTTACATAAAACACCTTAAAGTCGTTACAGTTTAGTATTTGATATTCTAGAGGGTTTTTCTTCTTTCCTTTCAGACTTCTGAATGCTTATGATGAACATCAAACACTCCTAAAAGAACAGGATTCTTTAAAAAGGAAAGCAGAAAATGGGTATGTTACTTCTTGTTCAAACCACAAGTGATGCTTAAAAGACGACTTTTCATTGTGCATATGCCAGCTAGCTATTTATTTATTTGTTCGTTTTTGGAGGTTTTTTTTTTTGGCTATAGGATGCGTGCGCTCGCCAGAAAGACAGAGACAGACAGACAGAAAGCTAGAAATCACCCTCCATGGGGGATGGCCATGCCACAATCCCTTCTCTTTCTGGGATCTCGGGTATGCACGCACACGTGCCCAACTTGAGTTTAAGCCACCGGGTCTGGGACTTGAATTGTGGTCAACTACATAGGAGTCCAGCAACATAGCTATTATGCCAACTGCTGGTCTTGCCTTTCTTTTATTTTTTTTTCCAATTGCCAGAAGGCACATGTACTTGCCAGAGAGAAATGGGAAGCAGTCTCCAGTAGGGTGTGGTCCTATTGCAATTTATTTTATTCCATTTCACCATTCTGTTAGGATTTAGGGCATGCATGTTTTTCAAACATGTCAAGGCTAAGACTCAGACCACTGTTGGCTATGTGGGATCCAGCTCAATTAAGCCCTAGGCTTTGGAGCTGGCCCTCTAACAGTCTTTAAATACAAATTTTAAGTGTTATGTGTTTGTTTTGTTAATTTAAATGCCTTATTTTCATGATTTGGTTGTGGAATGGTATATACCACAACAGTAAAAGAAAAAAAAAAAAAGTCATGGACAATTCAGTGTATACTACCAAAAAAGAATTATTGAATGTACATATCATGTTTGAAGTTGAATAAGATGTCTCCGTCCTTGATTTAATTATTATACAATGTATGAATGCTTTGAAAAACTATATGGTACCCCTCAAAGACATACAGTGATTAAATTTAAACCAGAAATCACAATAAAAAGATATAAAATTAATAGTTGGTAACTCTAGTAAAAATAAATGTACATAGGTAACATTCATCCATTAAAGTTCTTTTCTTTGGGAATTTTCAACATTTCCACTTTGACATTTTATGTAGATCAGACGAACCAGAGGAAAAGAAAGCACATACAGAAGATACAAGTCAGTCATCTACGCAGATGATCGATGGTGATTTACAGGCAAATCAAGCTGCATATAACTACAGTGCCTGGTATCAGGTGAGTCCAGATAGTTAAAATTCTTCGTTCACAGATGTTTTTAGCAACATACATTAAAGTAGTATTTTTGGAAAACAACTTTGTGTTTTTGATATATATTGTCTTTGCGGTTAATTCTGGGAATGTCAACAGTAAATAAATGCTTATTCTTAAAATGTGCCTGCTTTAATTTTTATATATGAAACTTTGCCATAGTTTTAGTATGCTAACATATTACTTTTTCTTTTCAGTACAATTATCAGAATCCTTGGAATTATGGACAATATTATCCTCCTCCTCCAACCTGATGGAAAAAAATGTACAATGAAGTGTGAGAAAAGTATGAAATTATTTTTTTTTAAATGAGGGATGTAAACATAGCATAAGCTTGTGGTATTTGGTAACGTCTTCCCTGTTTCTGTGTAACATGATTTGTTTTTAGTAATAGGGGAAAATGTCAATAAGTAGCTCACCACAGATACTATTTCCTACCATTTATAAAGTTTACTTTTTATTGAAGAACTATTTTTTTGATTTTTGCATTAAGTGGTCTAGAATTCTTTTGCAATGCATTTGCAACAGAGTTTTGTAGCCTTAAGAGTAGGAAAAAATATACTGACTGCAAATCATGTCAGTATAGTGTAAGATTCTGAAAACACATAAGGGCTGGTTACCAAGGATTTACCTCCTCTATAAAAAAACAGGCCTTTGCTAAGGTTGTATGTGTGTTTCAGTTTTACTTGTGAATTTGGATCAAAGGGCAGATACACTATTAAAGTACATTGCCTTGGAATAGAGATTATAACTAAGAAAATGGAATGTTTGCATCCCTTTAAAAAATGAAAATCATATCAGAAGTATATTGTTTCAGGAGACTTTGTATTTAGGATATTCATGTAAAACTTGTGAGCAAGCTTTCATTTTGATCAAACTGATCATCTTCATTTTTGTAATAAAACTGAAGACTCATCCAGTAATTGTTTATGAATTTATTTGGGTGGCGTCAACTAATGATACTAACTTTATATTCACCGTTATTAATGATTCATTGTTATTCAGTGCATTATCCTCAAGTTAGCTATTAGCCAAAATTTCTTAAGAACTTTTAGGTTTATGCTTCCTCTCAATCTTTCTGCTTTTGTATTCTCAGTACCCAGGGACATTTAAGATGAATGTTTCCTGGCTAAATGTATAGATGATTTGATGAGGTCTTTAGCTCGGACTCCCTAATCACACCAAACAAAACAGTCAAGTCCAGACAATAGATAAATTTTTATTGAGCCTTTTAGTTTACAATATGAGGTAAAAGGAAAAACAGATCTCAGCCAATATTTTACATAGCTGTAGTAAAATATTTTGGACTTCAGCGATTTATAAGGGATTACACTTTTCAAAAGTTGAGATAAGTTATGAACAGATTCTAACTCTTTGAATTTTCCAGTTGAGTCTTCCCTTACACAATAGTAACAAGCTCTAATTTGTTACATAAGTTTCTTCAAGGCCAAGTTTATTGTTGTTGATGTCTTTAGATCTAAAGAACTGGTATTTCAATCAATATCTACTAATTCCACTTCAAAGAAAAGTTTTGCATTTGGTGGAATTCTGTTGAAAAAGTCAAGGAAATTTGATAAAAAAAATTTTCCTTTTCCCATATCCTCAATATCCTTAGTCTAAAATTAGAATTATGTACACTGAGGTTCCTAAAGGTATCTTTAATGATAAATGGAGATCATGACCTGTCAGTATAAACTGGCTAGAAGAAGTGAGCTTATAATTATAGCAGGGCTCCTCCTTATCTGTATGCCTCACTAGTACTCCCAAATTAGCCACCACTTAAGACTGCTACTCAGTCCTCCTAAACAAAGTGATTTCAGTCTAGAGTGTATACGCAGTACTGAAGTATGTGTAAGGTAATACATGATATTTACTGTGAATTTTAAGATGCTAAATGGGAGATAGCTACAGCTCTGATCTCACTATCTGGTTGTGATAGGCTAGGAAAAGAGATAACTATATTTCTAAATAAGTTTAACTGATAAGACTACAGGGAATTATTTTAATTTCCAATTTACATCCCCCACCCCAAACTACTTATTGGGTTTTGATTTAATGTCCACAAAATGGGAATGAAAAGTGTTATTTAGCCATGATTATAAATGCTTACTAACAGCTGTTGGTGCCATGGTTTCCCTCAATTCAGTTGGTAATCCCCAGTGTATTCTATTTCTAAGCTCTGTCCATTTAACTGTCTGAAATTAGACTATGATATAAAAGTACCATGAACTTTAGGTTTGCATCCTTACAGTTCACTATAGTTGCTGGTATTGAGCGTTGTAACTTCTTCAAACCCTCAAACTTTAATAATTGCCTTTCAAAGATGAAAGCTTAAACTTCACAATGTTAAAGTCTTGAAAATTAAGAACCTTGAATAAAAGAGGGAAGATTCCATCACAAATTTGAATGCTTTGTACCAACAGAAAATACTAACCATCCTCTGTAATGGTGGGGTTAACACATAAGCATCTAAATACCAGGAAGACTAGTCTAGACAAGATTGAATTGTTGATACAGAGGTTAGCCTGGACATCTTTCACACCTCCAGTGATCTTTCCTCAGTGTTCTTTAATTATGAAGAGAAAAAAAGGATACTTGGCATCAGGCTGTCCTTTCTTTCCATAAGCCCATTCTGGTTCAATCTCCAGTCGAGCCTTTTCTCCTTTACTCATAGTCAAAAGTGCTTCATCCCACTAAAGGCAAGAACAAAGGAAAAACTAATGCTATTTTTCAAAAAGTACATGTAAAATACCTTATTAGGATTATGAGAATTCAAGAAGTTCATGGAAAATCTTGGTGCAAAAAATTTGAAATCCATGAACAGTTTTTTTCCCTAAGTATACATTTTCCGTAACATTTTGAAGACCCATTGTAATAAAAAAATAATTCTGTTACTGGAATTCATTATGTCCTAAGGTAATGTCCTTGAGTGAATCCCTAACCTTTACTTCATATTTTCTCAATGGGAAAAAGTAAGGATATATTAAACGATCACATTTCAGTGTGATACACAAACTCCTGAAATGATACAATGTGAAAGCACTTTCGTAAACGATAATGTCATCCATTATGGAAGCCAGTTTATTATTAGCTAAATCATAAAAAAAAAAAAACCTGCCACATTTACATCATAGCACATACTTGACGGTTTATTTTTGTAGGGATAAACAAGAAAGCATTCACTGTGAAACTGTTTTAAGATTACTAGGAGCCAGCCTTGTAACCTAGTGGTTAGGGAAGCTGTATTACACATGGCTGACCACAATTCAAATCCTGGCTGGCCCCTGCCTGCTTGAAAAACTTGCTGAGCATGTGTCCATGCGTCCCCCAAATCCTGACATTTGGAGACATGAAGAAAATGTGATGTAACCATGTCCAACTAGGGGGTGGTTTCCTCTCTCTCTCTGGTCAAACATACACATACACCAGCAATTAAAAAAAATGTAGGGACCAGCAGTTAGTGTAATAATGGCTATGTTGCTGGACTCCCATGTAGTCAACCGCGCTTTAAGTCCTGGACAGGGTGGCTTAAACTCATGCTAGGCGCGTGTGCATGCGTGCACAAGATCCCGAGAGAATGGAGAAGGGATTGCAGCGTGGCCATCTGCCCTGGGGAGTGATTTCTCACTTTCTGTCTCTCTGTTTCTGTCTTCCTTGTGAGCGCACGTGCCCTATAGCAAAAACCTCTCAAAAAAAAAACTGTAATATTGGAGTCATCGAGTTATATAAACTACATGTTGGGGGCACTAAGACCTTTTATAGAAGGTAAACCTTTTATAGAAGGTAAACCTAACTTCAAACAAAATAGAAAAATAGCCCATCCTGATAAATAGTTGATAGCCACTTAGTACAAAGTGTGTGTGTGTGTCTATTAATATGTATCTGTCTAGTTTTTACAACTGCACTTAAGTAGCTGTTTTAGTCTGTGTTTGATGAATAATTACATGTGAAGAAAAACAATGGGCTGACCCTGGCAAGAAAGAAAGCCCAATTCAGGGACACCAACAATCAGCCTGCTGTTTTATCTCCCTACTGTAGTGGTCAGTACAGTAAACCTAATCAACCCCCCCCCACACACACACACACACACACATACTTTTTAAGTTTTTGTTAAAAGGCGCAGACTCTCACAGATGGGTGGAGGAGTAAAAAATCATGCTGCAGTCTGTGAAGGTGTAATCCCTGCTCTATTCTCGAGATTTGGGGTACATATGCACTCATCCTCAGCATGGTTTTCAACCTACCTTGTCTAGGACTCACTCCAACCATGCAGTCAACCTTGTGGCATCCAGCTGACTTAAAGACCATGCCACCTGGCTGGCCCCTAACTTCCTTTTTCGCTCTCTCTCATTTGTAAGGGTGATTAGGTTTGAAATGTTTTCTGGTGTTTGAGCCTAAGTTCTGAGAGGTGAAAAGGCTCTCAAATCCCTGCTTCTATGAGTACTTCAGTGGAATATTTTATCTTTTATAATATATAAGCAGTACAAGAGCTATAGAACATTTTACAAGAGTCTTAATTGCCAGAGGGCTTGTGTTCTTTTTCCAGAGATACGTACTTTCCAAAGATAAAGAGAGGGAGAAAGCACCCCCAATGGGACATAGTCATGCTTAAATTTCTTCTCCATCTAGTGCACATTTTGGATAGCCATGCACAAATACCTGGCCTATTTTATTTTTATTTTTGGAGAGGTTTTTGCTATAGGGCGTGTGTGCTCAGCAGAAAGACAGAGACAGAAAGCGAGAAATCATCCCCTGGGGGGATGGTCATGCCACAATACCCTCTCCATTCTCTCGGGATCTTGGGCGCACACATGCCCAATATGAGTTTAAGCCACCAGGTCTGGGACTCAAACCACGGTTGACTACATGGGAGTCCAATGACATAGCCAGTATGCCAACTGCTGGTTCCAATACGTGGCCTATTTTTCAAGCCTCTGTTCTGGGACTTGAACTGTTCAGACAGCCAAGTGGAATCTGACACCCTTAATCACTAGGCCATGGGGGCTGGCCCTAAGAATCTTAAAGACAATTTTGAAGGCAAACATTTTAAAATTTTTATTGCTAGTATGTGTGGGCTCGTGAGAAAACTAGAGTGAATGTGTATACATGTATACCTCAGAGGGGGCACGGGTCACACCACAATTTTTCTCTTCCATTTTTCCTTCCAGTCAGGATTTTGGGTGCACACGTACCCAGCATGTTTAAACCACTGGGGCTGGGATTTGAACTGCAGTTGGGTATGTGGGATCTAACTGCCTTCAATACTTAGCAAAAGGGCTGGCCCCCCAATTTTTTTTTTTTTTAATTATGTTTATTTCTTCTGAGAAACAGACACACACACACACACCCTGACAGGGTCTTCCATCATGCTGTGATATATCCCCAGTCTCAGCAGGTCTAGGACATGGATATGTGTGCTCATGCACTGTACTGGAAGAATCAGAACATCAACTTGGACCTTTTCCATGTGGATTCAGTTTCATTAGCACTGAATCTACACTTGGCTAGAGGGCCAAATATTATTTGACAAATTACTTTATGAAGAAAAATGTAAATGGGATAGATAGAAGTACTATTCAGTTGTTGGAAAAGTCACGATTTTTTTTCTGTTTTTCGTTATAAAAGTTGGCCATGACTTTCCCCACAACCCAATACTTGTGTCCTTACTTTATTAGGTTATGTTCATTTACAACACCTTGAGGTACTTGGGCCAGATGGTGGCCTAGCAATAATGTACCGAACCCATGTGGGAGGGTCCTAGGTTCATAACCTGATACCTCCTATACACACCAGACTGCATGTGATTTGGGCTAGCAGAGGCTGGGAGTGGATCACAGCATAAAGGCTTTACTGGAAGTGCCTGTCTCTCACCCTCTGCCTATCTCTCATAGAAGAAATAACCTAACTACCCTCAG